ATAATAATTAGGAGGCTACAACACATTATCAAGATTGTTAATCGAGAAAAAGGATTTAGAAAAAAACCTGAGATTTGAACTCCTAGGATATACTGATAAGTGGATAATCTGAATTTTCAAATCAACCACGACACCATACAGGAGGTCATGTGAGCCCTCTGACATCTTGGTATCGTTTGGATGTGGTCTGTCTTCCCCTGAGCTGCTGAACTGAGACAGTGCACAGCCTTCAGAACCAGGGTCTCCTGAAGGCAACTAAGACTGGACAAGTCATCATGGTGGAGCCCATGACTAAATCCTGGTGGCTTTATAAGAAGAGGGAGAAGACCAGAAGAGACACACACACACCCAGGACTGCTGTGTCTGTGACTGAGACTGGTTGTTTATGGCCACACATGGCTGCGTGTACCCAGTCGGCTGTGGATGGGCCCTGTGTTAGTATTTCCTATCTGTGTCAGGACATGGCAGAGACAGGCAGCGCTCACACTGACACGGCCCCTCAGGCTTTGAGACTTTAAAATAGACATGCTCTGCATTTACTTTCCCTTTTCTTCAGCATCAAACCCAAAACCCTAAGACCAGGGTTAGCTATACCTTCAGAAACCTAGAAACTTCCACTCTCCCATCTAAAGGGCTATCCCCACTGTGCAATGGATTTTTACTTTTTATATGTGTTCAATTACCATGGAAAGTTATGTCACAAGCAATCTCACACAATGGTGGAAGACTTCTTAAAACTAAACGTTTTCCCTGACATAATATCACAAAAAATACCTTACTTACCACCCGTCTTCATCTTTGCACTTGGACAGCTTCTGTTCTTTATCCACAGACACATTCGAGGAGACACCTGGAAGAGAGCGGCATCGCTTTATTAGTGTGGTCGTAAATGTGAATAAAGCTAAGTAAAACATTCCAACTGGGGCAAGATGAAATTAATCTGAAAGTTAATTAATATTAACTAACAGAATTTAATCTAAAACTTAATCTTTTTTTATTTTTTATTTTTGGAGGCAGGGTTTCTCTGTATAGCAGCTCTGGCTGACCTGGAACTCGATTTGTAGACCAGGCTGGCTTGGAACTCACTGAGATCCGCCTCTGCCTCCCGAGTGCTGAGATCTAAGGCATGGGCCACAATCGCCCAACCTAAAAATTAATCTTTTAAAAAACACTTTTACACCCTCCTGCAATTGTTAAAGGGGTGATTCCAGTAAATCCCTGAGGGAAACTTCGGCTCCTACAAAGAAAGGATTATTATTAATGTGGGGTAAATAAACACATCTATAACCGGTTTATCCCAGTTATATTTTAAAACCTAACAACAGTATTACTACATAAAGAAAGCAAGGCAGAAATCAGTATGGTGGCTCCTCAGAAAATTGGGAATCAGTCTACCTCAAGATCCAGCAATCCCACCCTTGGGCATATACCCAAAGGAAGCACAGTCACACCACAAGGACATTTGCTCAACCGTGTTCATAGCAGCACTATCTGAACAGCCTGAACGTGGAGGCAACCTAGATGCCCCTCAACCGAAGAGTGGATAAGGAAAACCTGGTACATTTACACAATGGAGTACCACTCAGTGGTATCCGCAGTGACATCTTGACATTTGCAAGCAGATGGATGGAGCTGTAAGGGCCATGGGCTAAGGGAGCCCCTGCGATCTGAGAAATCCTGACACTCCCCTGAAGGAAGCAGCCAGCGAAAACGCTTGCTACATCCGAATAATGCCCATGAGGATGCTTGGCAATGCCCTTTGGGGGATGGCAGACCCCAGAAGGAGACCCGTGGTCACTCGGGAGCCACCCTCCTCCCGTCCGCTCCCCGGGAACCGGGGCCCTCGTGCCGGAGGCTCGCCCCAGGGGCCGCCCGGACTGACAGCGCAAGAGGATGCAGTTGTTGTCCTCCTGGCTGGTCACCCAGGTCAGAGAGTCGCCCAGCGGCCGGCGACAGCGCGCGCACAGGAACACCAGCGGGTTCTCCCCGGCCGGGGCCGCCTTCTGCTCGCACCGCCCCGCCCCGGCCTCCGCGCCCGACATGCTCGCCCACGTCCGAAGCAGCAGCGGGCGGCGGCTCGAGTCTTCCGAGAGCCGCTTTCCCAGCAGCGAGGAGGGCAGGCCAGCCCGGGAGAGCACAGGAAGCCGCCGGCCAGCACGAATCTGCCGCGCTCCGGGGACCCACGGGAAGAGCGCCGCTGCGCACGCGCGAGGACCCAGAGGCCCGGC